CAAGTTGCATCTCAACCACAGAAAATAGAAATGATGCCATGTACACCTACCCTATGAGCTCCACCTAAGAAGAACCTTCAATTATTCAAGATACTACTCACTTTCCCCTTTCTAGAGCCTTCAATTATCAAGATGCTACTCATTATTATTATTATTATTGCTTATTCAGTTTGAGACCAAATTGAACCATAGCAGTAAATTTTACCTAGCAGAAGAAATTGATCCAAATCAAAATTCGGCCTACTGAGTGTGGAGGAAGGACAAAGAAGAGTGTGTAAAGCCCTCATGAATGTATCAACTAAGATACAAGAAAATAAGGATCTGGTTAAAAAACTGATGAACAAATTAATTTTTTTTAAAAGATTTGTGTATTTCCTAAGAATACTAATATTCAGTACTCTATGCATTTAGCTATATGAATCGAATTCAAAGACATCAACTTCACAGAAGAAGAGTCTTCATTTTCCTCTAAATGAATCTACTTTATCCGTAGTTTCAAGTTATGCAAGCACTTTGAAAGGCTCAACCAATTTACTACAAGCAACTCAGAGTAGTCGAATATTGTGTTACGACAATGCAAATCAGGACAGACCCATATTATGCTGGGCATCAGAATGCAAAACGATGTACAATACTAGAAGGTACTAATCAGCTTGAAGTCTAGAACTACATACAAAGGGAAAGAAATTGAGTGTTCTGTTGTGACATCTTACCACCACGTAGACCACCATAGATAAATCTCAGGTCACCAATAGCAGCGGCAGCATGCCTACAACGTCTCGTCAGTTCGACTGTAGCATCTCCACAGGCATCATCAGCATTGTATCTGCCAGTCCTGAGAGTAGTAACAACAGACTTTGTATCACACTGGACTCCTGCCGCAGTATCCAGAACTACACACAGAAACATGACAAATCTGAGAAAAAGACTTAAGTGTAGACTTTTTACACCAACATTTTCAGCACATTTGCTGGATTACAGGGAAAAAGAAAATAAAGGAAAATACCTGCAACACTTGATGAGTCTTCCACCATGCGTCCACCACCAAGTGCACCACCAGACACATGGGTCTTGCATTTACAAAAACCTATAGGAGCATAGCACATCTCAATGACTGGTTTCTCGATACCGAACAAGAGGGGGGAGGGGAAATGTCAACTAACAGTGGGGTCTTTTTCTTTTTTTTTTCTTTTTTTGGTTGGGAGTTTAAAAGAAAAACTCGCCGCTGCATGTTGATATCTAGGAAATGGTGAGACACCAGGAGCAATTGCCCATTCCCACCGACCATCTCTATGTTTTGCAAGTCATATGCACTGGCCAGTGGCTGAAAAAATCATTAAAACAGGATGTAACAAGTCAAACATGTATGACAATGGAAAAGGTGTATCTTGACCTTGATAGGGAGAAGGAATCATATAGACAAAATTGTACAATAATATTCATAGCAGATACAACAGTATTCAAGACGAACATACTAGCATGAACCTCTACACACACACACACACACAAAACTAAATATATATGCATGAATTAGACATCATCATAATAAAAATAGAAATGATGAATTCAAAACACACAAGTTACATCTCAACCACACAAAATAAAAATGATGCCATGCACACCTACCCTATGAGCTCCACCTAAGAAGAACCTTCAATTATTCAAGATACTACTCACTATCCCCTTTCTAGAGCCTTCAATTATCAAGATGCTACTCATTATTATTATTATTATTGCTTATTCAGTTTGAGACCAAATTGAACCATAGCAGTAAATTTTACCTAGCAGAAGAAATTGATCCAAATCAAAATTCGGCCTACTGAGTGTGGAGGAAGGACAAAGAAGAGTGTGTAAAGCCCTCATGAATGTATCAACTAAGATACAAGAAAATAAGGATCTGGTTAAAAAACTGATGAACAAATTAATTTTTTTTAAAAGATTTGTGTATTTCCTAAGAATACTAATATTCAGTACTATATGCATTTAGCAATATGAATCGAATTCAAATTAAAAAACGAGAGAGAAAGATATCAGTAGCAAGTAATTCATCGTTTAATTCAAGATCTAAATTACTTCTGAGCTTCATCAAACTAAATTGAAATTGAGAGAGCTTGAAATCAAAATTAAACAGAGCAATATAGAAATCAACTACGACTAAAACATGGAACAAAGAAGAATTCAAAGCAAAACAACAAGATTATAAACTAGAAAAATCATTCAAAGATTAACCAAATTATGCTTTGTTTGGTTGCTAAGAAAATGTAACAAAGACACAGGAAAACAAATATATATTTTACCCTAATTGAGGTGAGCTTCAGTTTTCTAGCCAAACAAACATAAAAGCAGAATACTAAAAGTTTGAAATTATACAAACAAGAGGTTCAAAAACTAAAAGAAATTTAGCAAACAATCTAGAGAAATGTTCAGATCAAATTTTAAAGCCAAAGCAAATCAAGATTTAATAATTTAAAAAGATAAAAAAATAAAATGAATCTTCGAATCAAAAAGATGTTTCGAAATCAGAATCTACACTGCATTGATAAAAATAAAGACATAGGGATTACAGAGATAGAGAGTCGGATTCGTACATAGAAATTAGGTTTACCGATTATGAATTGATCCAAATCTTTATCAACAACAAATCGAAATCTTCAAATCTTCATCAACAATCGATCAAAATCTTCATATCTACATCGAAGTGAGAGTCGAGTGAGAGAGAGTGAAGAGTGGAGAGTGGAGAGTGGATAATGAGATTCGAGCGAGAGAGAGTGGAGAGTCGAGTGAGAGAGAGGAGAATTTGAGAGATTAACAGTATGATTTGTGAGATTTTGAGAGAGAGAGAGAGAGAGTTGGGAAACAAGAGTGAAAGGGGATAGGACAAGTTTTACACGATTTGGGGTTTTTTTTTTTGTTTTCAGTTAAGAACACGATTTTGGGGGTTAAGTAAAACGGGATTATGACGTAAAAAGTGATTTTTTGCGATGGTAAAATAATCAGTCGCAAAAAATCATATTTCAAGTAGTGTGGCTACAGAAGTAACAAACCCTTGATACTGAACCTTCAATCATTAACTACGCAAGAGGTTCACCCAATAACAATGAAAAAAATGATTTCCCACAAGAAGGCAACAGGCCCTGCTTTTCATTAGGTTAATACAATCTAAAGACAACACAAAGCTGATGCTAAATTTCTACTTGTTTAAAGAAGAAATGCTGCGAGAAGAAGAGAAAATAGGACTCAAGTTTAAGAAAAAAAAATCCTCTTAAACAATCTGTTCAAAAGCCAGAACTTTTTTATTATTATTATATTGTAAAAAAAATTATTTCAATTTTTTTTTGAGGATCAACAATAAAAGAAGAATTTTATCAAAAAAGAGAAAAGAGAAGTACAAAGAAGGACAAGAGGACCTCAAAAGCAAAAACCAAAAAATCTACGAAGGAAAAAATAAAAAGACCTCAAATTTTTTTTATTTCAATTTACTATCCAATTAAGGAAAAACCAGTGGTTTACAAATCAATTGTCACTAACAATTTAAGAAACATATATTGAGATTTTCATCATCAATTTAAGATATAGAAAGTTTCCATATTGTTGAAAATTCCAAAGATTCTCTAATTAATGGACAAAATTTGAAAGGTATTTCCATATTGATAATTAAAATTAAAAAGGAAATTTTTTTTTTGATGAGAACCAATAATATGACACGTAGATTTTTACATTATAAATTGACACATTTTATGTTGTTTCTTAGAATATTAACACAAAAGTGATTTGTCATACTATTTAGATGAGTACTGCTATTTAGATTAAAAAATTAGACCCACCTTTTAAACTCAATGATGTGGTATTTTATTAAAATATCTAAGTCAATTCTCTTTCTCATTTATTCTCTAATTATTAATCAATCATCTTATTGACACATTGAGGAGTGATGGAGACCCCCTCCAATCACCACCCCCACCACCCCCACACACATGTGGTAGGTGGTATAGCGACCCCGGTCTTTTTTCTTTAGATTATTGTATCCGGACTTAGGTTCCATGGATCCTGTCAGTATATATTCGTTGTTGTCGTCCTTTAATCTCGTTGTATTTGAGTTATAGGATGTGTTGGGCGGGTCTGTTACAGGTCGGTTGAGTTTAGATGCCAAAACTAGTTGCCCAGATTTTGACCTGTCCACTCGAGCGGGAGTTTGACGCTCGAGCGGGGATTCTTTTGTTGCTTGTCCGCTCGAGCGGGGGTTTTGGTGCTCGAGCGGGATTATCACCCATCCAGTATTTCCTGTGTAGTGTTAGACGCTCGAGCGTGGGATTGGACGCTCGAGTGGAAATGTGTGAGTGCTGCTCGAGCGAGGAGTTTGTCGCTCGAGCGGGGACCTGGTTCTGCAAAAGTACTGGGAGTGCGTATTCGACGCTCGAGCGGGAGTTTGGACGCTTGAGCGGGGAGTCGACTACATCAGTCCGAGATTTCACTTTTTGGATCACTTTTTGACCTACTTTTCTTTCTTAACTTTTAAAAAACCGCCCCTTGAGAGTCTCTCTCTCTTTCTCTCTCTCTAAACCTGTCTTCTCTCTAAGAAATAGGTCTAGAAAGTGGGTTTGTATATCATTTTTCTAAGATTAATAGTTATCAATTTGCATCAGTTAAAGTTGAGTAAAACAGCCAACGGGGATTGGTTAAGTTGGTAAGGATCAAACTCTTCGTCTTTAAGACTTAGGTTTAATTCCCAGTACTACCAGTAGTCCTCCTTGGTGGCTTGCCCTAACCTTGGACTGAGATAGCCTTCCCTCACCTAAAATTTTTTATACCAAAAAAAAAATAAAAAAAATTTGAGTAAAACAGTTATATCACGTCACTTTGTTGAGTGAAACAATTACATCATTAATTGTGTCCGAAAATTTTGGTATGATTAGAATTTTCATTAAAATTTCCGTATCATCATGTAACACTTTCTCTCATCTTTTTTTCTAATTATCGACCAATCATATCATTTAAACATAATGAGTCTAGAAATTGTACTTGTATATCATTTTTCATTTATTTCACCAATATCCAATTAGCATTCCGTAAAAAACTTGGAATTAACCATTTTGATGAAAAACAAAGGTACAAGAGGCAAACTGGGAGCTCTATAACAAACAGAAAGCAGCCGAAGCAATTCTGTATGAGAAAGAGAAAGAAGCCCAGGCCCAAAAAGCCACGGCTGAGGCTACTTTCTATGCCCTCCAACAACTCGCTGATGGAGAATTATATGCTAAACAAAAAGAAGCTGCAGGGCTTGTAGCGCTCGGACAAGCCCAAGGGGTTTATATATGCATGCTTTTGGACGCGTTGGGAGGGAATTACAATGCTCTTAGAGATTACCTGATGATCAATGGTGGGATGTTTCAGGAGATTACCAAGATTAATGGCGAGGCGGTTCGTAGGCTGCAGCATAAAATTAGTATTTGGACTAATGGTGGTGGCGGTGAGGGTGGTGCTATGAAGGGGGTTGCGGTTGTTTATAGGATGTTGCCTCCATTGTTTAAGACTGTTCATGAGCAAACTGGAATGTTGCCACCAGCATGGATGGGTGCCTTGCCACCAGATAATTTATGTAAAAAAATTAGATTGATCGAATAATCGTAATCACGTGATGATATCACATTTGTCCTCAAAATAATGGACAGTCTGTTTTCAAAATTATACTTGCCATGCATTTTTTTGAAAATAAATATGAACCAATCATGTGATTATAATTACTTGATCAACCTGATTTGGCATGGATAATCTGTTAGAGAGCCATAGAAGATAAACGATTTAGATAATGAGGTGATCCTGTGGTGAGCTCATAGAGACCCAACTCTAGTTGTGATTTCCAACCAAAAAGAATCTCCGTACTTACGGACTTGGCATTGTGACATGGATTGGGAGGCTAAAAGATTAAAATATTTATTTTATGATAAATACCATTTTTTACGTATAAATATCAAATTTTATATAAAAATTTCATACAATTTGATTTGACATATTTTGGTCATATTAATGAAAGACACCACATTTTGGGCTTAGGATGTCAATTTTTTTTTTTTGTTTTTTTGTTTTTTTGAATGTGGGATGTCAAATTTGAATCTAAATTTTTGTATTTACTCTACATTTTCTTGAAGAAGTTGAAATATGTAATCGTATGGACACCATTCTATGTGTTCTTATGTTGTGTTTAGTTATGTTTCTTTTGATCAAAAGACATATGTGTACATTTGTTCGTTTCAAATAAATACAGCGTGATAAAAATATTAATAAATTTGATATTATTCACTTTGTTTGTAGTGATGCACCTTTTAAAAAGATGTAAATTATAAAAAAATTATGATTTTTTATCATAAAAATTATGATTATCTGTAATGTATGTTATGATATTTTGTGGTAAAATTATGAATAATAAATTTATGATGTGCACTCTAAAGTTAGGGAAAAGTTAGGGATGATAATGTTATGATACTTTGTGATTTTTGTTATGATACTTTGTAATTTTTATTATGACATTTTATTGTGAAAAATAAGTAAAAAGTATATAAGGTGTAATTTCTTGGAAGTTTGTTTGAAGTTTGATAGAGAACTTGTAAAGAGAGAGAAATTGTTTGACTTGACAAAATATAAACATACACAGAAATATACATATTCCACTCCAAATACTCTTATGTATCTTTAGGAGATGATGATAGCATTGAAGCCTATTGAGAGTTGCACAAGCTAACACAAGTAAACAAATTGTTCTTTAATGCAATTCTAAATTTCATGATTGATATTAGAGATGCTTAGAGTCACACCAACAACTCATGAATCAAGTTTTTTAAATTTGACGAGTGTACTTAAGTTAATGTGTTAAAAAATGGCAAATAATTTGTTTAGTCAAAAAAGGGGAAGAACTCCTTTCATTTAAAACAGGCTATCAACCAAAAATCACTCAATGGGGAAATATTCAGTTTCCGAATAAATGGAAACCAAAAAAAATAAAAAAAAGAAGTCCAGCATTTAGAAGTATTCTCGAACTATGAAGTTATTAGACGAAAATCTCATTCTAAAATTTGAAGGAAGAAAATGCTTCAGTGTATCATTTAGTGTAAGAATTCCTATAGAAGAGAAATATAATGAACAAAGATTCACATAAAAATATGAAGACTATGAAAGTATAGGACACTCCAGTCTTTAGAATAAGAATTTAAAACTACCAGAGATGTAAAATGTAACGCCCTCAAAATAATAACAATAAACCCATCAGATAAGACATGCATTTACATATAAACTAACCACATTCTTTCATTCATTAGAGTTCCATTACATAAGTATTACATGTTAACCTCATAACAAAATGCCCTACGGGCTTACAGCTTTCCAAGTTAACACTTGGATACAACTATTAAAGTATAGGACACTCCAGTCTTTGGAATAAGAATTTAAAACTACTAGAGATGTAAAAAGACTTGAATATTTAATCCAAATGATTCAAACTTTGAATCAAGAAGAAAATGTAATAGTTAGTAATTGTCGCGAGAAACAGAGATCCATTCGATGGAGCTTCCAGCTAATTTTTTCTCAAAGTACCACTAGGAAACCCAATATAATCCTAAAATAGAAGAAGAAACAAAACAAAAACAAAAACAAAAACTTGACTTTATAGATAAAACACAAGATACAACCAAGGAAACTACAATCGGAGTCCAAGGTACAAATTAGGAAGGTGTGAGGCACCCATCTTGCCCAGTTGACAAGTTATCCTTTAGTTAATTTCATTAGGAATTTGTTAGACTTTAATATGCAAGATGACATCACTCAATTTCATTGGTTCAATTAGTTAAATTAGTGTTTCGCAAAAAAATAAAATAAAATAAAAATAGAAACTAACAACTATAATGATGCCGATCAAACACTAGACTATCATGAAAATTAACAAGCATGCAATCATGGCAGAAAACAAGACAAAACATGATTAATGCATGACAATCCTAAACTAAACATGAGACAATGACATGATCGAGACAAACCAGCAACTATGACAACGAAACAGAGACATCAAACGATCTCTCAGAAAATTATGAAAATTTTATGAGACATAAATATATGTGATTAACTTACAACTTCATAATTAAGGGGTCCTCAACTTTCACTTTATGTTAGAATTGAATCTAAACATTCTCTCATTGTTCTTGATGAAGTAGGAGAAAAATTAACAAAAAAATGATCTTTCGAGTTTGAAGCTATGTGGTCCAAAGATCCAAAGAGTCCTTGGGAGTTGCAAAAAGCATTAAACTCCAAAACAAAAAGGGGTCTCCAACTTTCACACTGGGTTAGACGTAGGGGTGAAATTGGTACAGTTTCCGGATATTATAAATCAATTGTGACCGATCAGGGGAGAGAACCAAACCGACTGAAATCTAAGCGGTCAGTAAGAGTATTCAATTTGCCATTGTTTAACAAAATCAGAGCAAACGATATATAGAAACAAAAACCGGAACACAAAATAAAACCATAACTCCTTTACATAACACTCCTTTACTTGGAAAAATCAAAGAGTAAGGGTACCAATATTCAGGAATGGTTGGATAGGGTCTAGCTAATGCAAAATCTTGGTTTTACATTTTCCCAAATGCTCTTATCTGTCATTTACCAACTAGTGAATCTAATAATTATCACATTGTTCTAGATAAAGTATAAGAAAAATTAGCCATAAAATGACCTTTTAAGTTTGAAGCTATGTGAATTATAGATCTAGAGACCCACTAGGTGTTGCAAGAAGCATGCAACTTGAGAATTTAGGGTTCCCAACTTTTACGTTGTGTTAGGAGTAGGGGAGAAATCAATGTAGTTTGGCGGAGGTCTAGGTGATTTCTCCACCACACAGAAGCTTTTAAGTAACAAAAACATAAATCCAAAATAAAAATAAAAATAAAAAAAGAAACAAAAAGAAAAGAAAAGAAAAATTGGAACACAAAATAAAACCATAATAATTACTTTACAAGTAACTCCTCTACTTGGATAAATTGTTGAGCACAATATACCAATAATTAGGAAAGTTTAGAAAGGTTAGATAGGGACCTGGCTAATGCATATTGCATGTCCATTCTCCCAAACTCTCTTATTCTATCATCTACCAAATATTGAATCTGATCATTGCCTCACTGTCCTAAACAATGCAGGACAAAAATTAGCCATAAAAACGATCTTCTAAGTTTAAACCAATGTGGGGCAAAGATTGAGAGAGCCCATCGGGTATTGCAGGAAGGATGTAATTCGAGAATATAGGGGTCCACTTTCATGCTGTGTTAGAAGTAGGGGTGAAAATAAGTGCAGTTTGGTCGAGGTCTAGGGTGGGGTTTCCCCCACCAAACCAAAGATTTTGATTTGACATTTACATAAATTTATCCTAGTCAGGGAAGAGAACTAAGCCGACATTGTGAAATTTTGAAAACGATTCGGTCTGTCAGTGTATTCAGTTTGCATTGTTCAATAAAGTCAAGGCAAACTATATACAGAACACAATAAGCCAACCTATATTCAAGAAAGGTTGGATAGGAGCCTAGAAAATGCATCTTAGATTCCATTTTCCCAAACACTCATAGTTGTCATTTACTAGCTACATGATCATATCATTCTCTCACAGTTCTGCATAAAGTAACAAAAAATAAGCCATAAACAATCTTTTAAGTTTAAAGTTATGTGGACCATTGGGTGTAACAAGGAAACAAGCAACTCTAGAATTAAGGTGTCCTCAACTTTTGTGTTGTGTTAGAATTGAATTTGATCATTATCATCATTCTTGATGTAGTAGGAGGAAAATTAGCCATAAAACGATTCTTCAAGAATGAAGCTACGTGGACTGAGATCCAGAGTGCCAACGGGCGTTGCAAAAACCATGCAACTATAAAATTTAGAGGTCCTAACATTCCCACTATGTTATAAATAGGATTGAAATCAGTGCAGTTCAGTCAATGTCTTGGGTGGTTTCTCCACCAAACCAAAGTTTTCAACACCAAACCAAAGTTTTCAATTTCACATTCACATAAATTGATCCTGATTGGTCAGGGAAGACAACCAAAGCAAACCAAGCAAAATTTTGAAACAGTTCGGTTGATTGGTGTATTTGATTTGGTATTATTAAACAAAAATAGGGCAAGTCATCTACAGAACATAATAAGCAAGCGTTTAAAAAAATCCACAATCCAACACACACACAAAAAAAAAAAAAAAAAAAAAGAAAGAAAGAAAGAAAGAAAGAAAAAGAAAAATTGGAACATAAAACAAAACCATAACTAATTTATAGGTATCCTTTTACTTAGATAAATTACGGTACCCCGATAATCAAGAAAGGTTCGATATTGCCTGGCAAATGGCATCTTGGATGGTCATTTTCCCAAACTCTCTTATTCGGCATTTATCAAAATATTAAATCTGATCATCATCCTCTCATCACCCGTAATAAAGTATGACAAAAATTAGCCATAAAACAATATTTTAAGTTTGAAGCAACATGGACCAAAGATCCAGAGAACCAA